GTAAAACCTTTAACCATTCCAATGTTCGACACGTCCTTCGTATTTCAGGAACTAGAAAACACGTTTACACGACTGAATCGTGGTTTCTTTTATATTTCCTTTTTTTCATTTTGGTTCGTATTATTGAATCGAATGAAACTCGCTGGTATTTAAACGATCAATAGAATCATTTTTGCTTTTTTTTTTCATGTTTTTCGTTTTTTCAAACTTGGAAAAAAGACAAACGAATAAAAATAGTTGAAAAATAATTCGAATACGAATCGGTTATACGAGACGAATATTAAAAATGATTTATGCAAAGCTCGTACTAACTTCTCAGAAAGTTAAACATTTTTTTTTCTAAATATAAACGAAAAAGAATATGAGAATTTCAATGGAGAAGCATGATAACTCACGTATATATTACATATATATATATATATATATATCGTAAAGAACTGATAGAATTATAAAATAGTGAAGTTAATAAAAGAAAAACATTCGCCAAGTTGTCTCATTTTACATTCAATAGAAAAGAAATATTTCTTGAAATCTTATTATCGAAGTAATCCTATATTCATTCTGAAAGGTGGTGAACGTGTCTTTCGCAGTTTTCTATTTTTTACATATTACTATTACGAATACTAAAACAAAAATAAATTACGTTTCTCTCTAAATTGTAACGCGAGACGAATAATTATTTTCCCATTCTTTCGGATTAAAAGTATTTTTGGCATATTATAACATACCAATATCGATGTGACTATACACAATAAGAGCTTTCGAGTGATCAATAAGTAGCCCTAGGCAAATTACTTAACTAATATAAGATCGATTCTCAAAGCGAATGAGATTGCAGGTAGAAATTTCAATGTGCTTACATTTCGTGCAATAATTCATATTCACAGGTATATTGTTTCATACGCATACGCATACACATCATTTAAATAAGAACTCGTGAAAAATTATTCAATTGTCTGATATAAAATATTTAACTTCTTTCTTTTTTTTCTAATAAAAGAAATTGAATTCTCTGTTTCACACGAATGTACAATATGTACAAAGAAAGTTTTTAGACTGTAACGGGGAAATTTTAACATGGCGTTTATCTTTCCTCTTTCACTTTAATTCTTTTACTCTTTCAACGTCGATCATCGACTCCACTGTAATAATGAAGCAGAATCGAGTAAACTTGATTAAATTAGCAACCATTTTCCATTGTCGCTTTTATCTTTGTTTCTTTCACAAATAACTGTTCTCGCAAATAACTTCCCTTTTAATATTGTTGAAGATAAATCGATGAGAAAATACAAAAAAAAAAAGAAAAAAAAAGAAAAAAAAAGGAAGAAAGAAAGAAAGAAAGGAAAGAAAGAAAGAAAAAGATCGAGAAAGTTCCTTTCGAAAACTTTCCAAATGAAAAAGTTGAAGTTACCTGGATGTTAGAAATCGGTGCTAATTGAATCAAAATTCGAAAAGGTTAACTTAATTATCCGACAAATCAATTGTACGATCTTTAAATTTATCACCGAGCCAATTTAAAAGTTATCGAAATTTCGGATTGATTGAAAAATTCAATCAAAATTCAATATTCCAACATCACTTGTTCGTGATGTACTTAGCCTGATTTTTTGATTATAATAGATTTTTTTGTTAATCGTCTTAGGGTTCTTTATCTTGAATATAGGGACTTTGAACAATCCTATCACAGAATACACACACTTTCTCTCTCTCTCTTTCTCTTTTTCTTCTCGGTTTCCGTTCTATTATCTCCCTTTTCCCCCTAAACAGGAGATCTTTTGCGAGAGACTAGGGCGAGAAACTAGGGCCAAAGAAGAAAATGTTTTATCCAGCTGGCATTTATCGTACAACCTCACAGCATGACGTACGAGCGGCAGCTTCATACGGCATCAGCATTTTACGAGCTAGTCAGTGAGATGCGGGAAAGAAATGGGCTAAATGTTGAACTAGGAACACCTTTTGGAAAAAGAGATCAACGAAAGACCAGTGTGTACACACCTGCTGGCTCAGCGCATCGATCCTTTTGAAATTTTCCCGATTTTCCAACTCCCACCCACACCCCTCCCCACCCCGTCCTATTTTCACATCAATCATCCACTTTTCTCCTTTTTCACCCTCCATGTATCATTGTCTTCTTGTCTTCCTATTTTTCCACACTACGTATACTCCACACATCTTGATATATATTATATTATATTATATTTATAACAAATCTTATGATTTTTCTTCTAAAATTCATTCAACGCTTATTTCAATCTTATATATTGAAAAGTTTGATATAACATAAGGAGAATATTGTATACGTACCTATATTTTGGAGGATTAAGTATAATATCATGAAATTTATTAAATAATTATAAAATGCTGATCAATTTATAGTTTCATTTCGATAATTTGAATTTCATACTCGGTAATATAATTTTAGAAAATAAATTTCAAGTTCACTCCCCCCCCTTCCCCACCCAGGTTCATTCTTGATAATGTTCATACTTTGAATTTCATATATATAAATATAAGCAATATATAAATATGTTATAAAAGAATACGTTAGAAAAATCCGAAAAACGTTTATACCTCGGGAAAGAAGATTTTTCATAGCTGTCAAGGTTCTCGTCTTGTCACACGTCTTATTTCGGGATTTACCTTGACAATTGGAAAAAGTCCATTTCAACTTTCTTCCATTCTAGTGATTTCTCTTTCTCTATTTACTTCAGTATCTTCTCAGCTTGCTTGCTTGCTTGCTTCCTTGCTTGCATTGGTAACAATTTATAGACTACGATTCGCAATCTGCTAAACGTTTTTCAGTTTTACCTTATAAGTGTCGACAGCACGTTTCCGTTTCTCTATTTTCTTCTGTAGCAAAGTAATAACGTCCACCTCGACCGAACGAAAATTGACTAGAAACTATTACGAACTCGCCACACACACAAAAATTATTATAAAATATATTATATATTATAAATTAAACAAATTAAAATAATTAGAGAGAGATTATAAGTAATCACAATTCAAAAAATGAAGAAAATAAATTCGAAATTACGAATGTTTGCTTAATATTTTCGATTTTGATTGTACAACAAAGAATACACGAAGATCATTCGAAACGATATAAGAGTAATTAAAAAAGTATCCTAATTCTTCGATGTGGACAAACTTAAAACTCATTATCCATCGATATTGAACTACTTTCGCAACAGGTCTCAAGCTACAAGTCGTTATCCTGACCATTACTTTCTTTGATCATATTTTTTTCCATGTTGTAATAATACTTAGAAAAAAATAATCCTTTATCCTTGAGAGGTGTTTTAAAATAATTAAAGAAAATAAAAAACAAAAAGGAGAAAAATAAATCTTTATGGAAAAATGTATAGAGACAATCTCTGTTAGAAAAAAATATCCATCATAAATATTGATGATCTGAAACGAAAACTTTTTAAAATGTTGGACAATGATAGAGGTTTGGGACAAAATTCGAATAGAAAAAGAAGAAAATTTGATGAATTTTATTTAATAAATGAATATTTCCATATATATTAACGAAACTTCTAGGATGGATTTTGCGATATTTATCAAAACGAAATAACTGGGTGCTTTGCGTGAGAAATTCACTTTAGGTCCAATCTAGATTCTAGGACAAAATATCTTTTTTCTATTTCGAACGATTTTAAAATAGATTATCGAAGTTTGATCTTACCTATGGAAAAAGTCTAAATCATTTAATTTGATCTTTATTGCGAAATAATAGTTGACGAACTTGTGCGAATATTGTAACGGTTTATTCGTATAAATATATATATTTAATTATTTTTTTTCCCCCCAACAGGATATTAATTAAACTCCCGAAGGATACAAAGAAAACGAAGTCGGTAAAACCGAGAATTAAAAAATGAAAGAAATAGTAACCACTGCTTTTACGTAAACAAGAATATTCAGAGACGAAATAAAATACCAGAAATTAGTGAGACTAAGCTTTTCATAAAGGTATAGCAAGAAGAAAGTTTCATTTTATAGTTGTTGTGAGAGTAAACTAAACGGGCGTAAAAAAAAAAAAAAAAAAAAAAAAAATAAAGCGTTTTAAAAGTGGCATTAAAATTATGTAAATATTTCCTTTAGAATATTAAAAATTTCCTGATACTTTTGTGTGCTTACTCGAGTTAAAACAAAAAAAAAAAAAAAAAAGAAACTATCGAAAGGCTAAATGAAATATAATAATTCTTGTTTTCTTTTCTTTTTGTGTTCTCTTACTTTATCAATTATATTAATATCTAAATTTTAGATTATTCGAACAATGGAATGGTTCAATATATTCGAATTTCGTATTCAAGTAACTAGTACTCGATATGAGCCCGACGAAATTGTAACTTGTAAAGTGGAAAGTACTCGAACATGAATTGAATCAAAAAGTTCCTATTTCCTCTCGACCCACCATGAAAAGATTCACGCAAGAAAACCGTTAAGCTTTTCTGAGTTTCCAGCTCATCCGTGTTGAATAATTGCTCGTTAAGATTTACCTGCTTTTCTCTCACCTTACTGAATCTAATAAATTTGTATTAACCTTTTTTTTTTTTTTATGTTTCGTACGTGGCTCAAATGGCATGCCATAGGTTATATGGGATAACTGAGTTGATCCTTCACTCTTCCTTCACCGAAGATACCTTCATTTTACAAAGGAATCTTAATAAATCACAAATTTTTTTTTTCCCTTCTCGTAATAAATGTGTGATGGTCACGTATATAATAAATAATATGAAGAATATTTTATTTTCAAACTTGTTTGAAGTCTAATTAAATTAATATAATGTGAAAGGAAATGTGATAAAATTTACACAACAACAACAAAACTTATCTTTAAGAAAGTAGAGAAAAGTTAAAAAGAAAGAAAAAAAGAAATAAAGAATAAAGAGAGAAAAGAAAAAAACAATACATCCAAGAAAACACATAAATTCAATCTAGGTTAACCTAATACTATCTTCTACCTCATTTACTCCAATTTCATGTTTCAGTGCGATCCTGGCGTAGCCGTGGACAGATTCTTCCATGCTCTCTACTCAAGAAGAACTAACAAGCTGATGCCTCTCCTCCTTGGTACAGCGTGTTCCGAGGTAACTGAAACCTTGGCAAAGATCGTACCTTACTGGAACGTGATTCAAGTATCTTTTGGCTCGACCGCACCTGCACTCTCAGATTCGACCGAATTTCCATTGTTCTTGCGAACTGTTGCTCCGGATTCCAGTCACAATTCAGCAAGGATAGCTTTGATCAAACATTATGGTTGGGATACAGTAAACGCGCTTTCACAAACTGGAGATATGTATTCTCTGGTAAGTAATCAGTCAATAGTCTAATTACAATTCCTATCATTTAAATAATAAATATGCAAAATTATATTCGCTATACGAAAAATCAAACAATACATTTACATAGTTACAAATTTCTCTATCCGGTTAATAGAAAATGTTCAAATTTTAAAATATATCGTTGCAGGCAATAAACGATCTAGTGACGGAACTGGAGCAAGCCAACATCTCGTGCAGGGCAACCATCACCTTCGCTGAAAATGATTACAAGGAGCAACTGCGAAATTTAAAAGTAAGAATTACTTACTGCTGCAATTATTAAAACTTACAATTGATGTCAATTTTTTATTCGACTTTATTCGCTTTAACTTTCGAATTTACGAAATGCGACGTACGTACCTTTAATCTCGAAAAAAAAAGTATAATACCTCTTTCGCGTTATCTAAAAAAAAAAAAGAAGAAAAGAAAAACGTTTTAAACAATTATCCACGTAACTCAATCACTATATTTAGTTAACGAAATTCCAATTAAAGTCGAGTCAAGTCTTTAATCAGTTAATTATTGAAAAACGATGCGCTTTAGTGGAAGATCTTTCGTTTTAAGAAATGGCACACATAAGAAGATACCTCCCTCCTCCTACTACCTGAAATTACCAAGTCTTTTGTATAACGGAATTTATGAAGAAGAATTAGGGTGGTACATTAAAGACCATTAGGTCGACGCGTTAAATGAGGCGAACGCTATTACTCTTACGTTCTCTCCGTTCAAGGAAGGAGGAGGTTCCTCTCCTGGCCCCTGCTGCTCGTTTTCACGACTACGTGTGAAACAGCCAAGTGCAACCTAGCGTAGAAAGTCAAGTGGAATTATTAACCTACTTCTCGTATGCATTTTACTTCGTTTTACGATTTCCCAACAAACCAAAAAGTCCCACCTAAATCGAACTTTTCTACCATTGTTCAAACGTATATAAACAAGAATATAAAGAATAATAATAGTAGTCTGTACTACCGACTCGTTCTGCCTTATAAAATGCGACGTGGAATAGGCAAGGGGAGGGTGGGGGGTATTGGTTAATAAAAAACAGGTAGAGAGAATGAGCGGAATAGAAAAACACAACAAAAGATATCGATCGAACTACTATACGCTCGTAATAGATTCGTAAAACTATCAATTCGAGAGAATCGTTTCAACGAGAATTCCTTTAGTAAAAGGGTATTATCCAAAAAAAAAAAAAAAAGAGAAATAGAGCAGACGTTTCGTCGTCGTCGTCGTCCGAATGATTCTCTCTCTCCGGCTACCTGCCGATAAAAAAAAAAAATCTATTTGAATAATTGAGACCAAACAACAGCAACAAAAGAACAAAATTAATTCACGTTTATGCGACACCATAATCGAGCTTCACGAAGAAACACGCTGGTAATCGATGATTCATCGTTATTTACCTATAATCAAAATTTTATTAAATCAAAACAATTGTGATCGAAAAAAAGAAAAGAAAAAAAATAGAAGCGGGAGACGGTGTGAGGGAGGATAATTTAATGAAAATTATCTAGGAAAATTTAGGAAATAGAAAGAAAATGTTGTTCGTCGTATGATGTCTCGCTTTAGAAACTCGTAACGATCCTCTCGTCTCCTTGACTATTTTCGTTCTGACGAACAATGTCACTCGCAGATCGTTACGAGAGAGTTCCCTTTCTCCCACCCCCCCGTTGTTCTCCTCCTCCTTCTTCTCTTTCTCACGTTCTCACTCTCTCTCTCTCTCTCTCTTTCCTTCTATACCTCTATCTATCCATCTTTCTCTATATCATTCGTTTGATTCCGATAATAACCATTATCGGCTTGTTAATTACGCGATAATTACGTGTACGTTCTATCAACTTGATGTTTTATTACAGGAGCTCGATACTCGAATCATCATCGGCAGTTTTTCACCAGAACTAGCACCCCATATATTTTGCGAGGTAAGTTATACCTTTTTCTATTTATATCCGAGCATAAGAAGTTGGTATGCTTTACAGAAAAGTATATCCTCTCTAACTTTGTTAGAATTTATTGGAAAATAGGAAGTAAGAAGATAAATTCGGATTAAAATAGAGTAAATCCTTTTAATGGTAACGTTAGTATCAATCTTATAGAAAATCATTAAATATATTATTCATAAGATATTTGTGTCTAACTTTTCTAACTTATAACACCTTGTTCTAACTTGAAAAGTAACTTTTCAACCGGGATATCTTTATATTCGAATTAAAAGATGATAAAATATTCATCGTAAGTTAGATCGTTGATTGCTTTAATCTACAGGTATAAAGAAAAAAAGTGCTAATTACTATAAAACTTACGTATTTACTTTCGTACAGTGTGTATAAATATATATATGTGTGTATGTGTGTATGTACTTTCAAAAGTTCTTCTTTTAAAAAAAGTGTCCACTTTCGTTTCATTAGACACCATGTATCCTTCTACAAACACATTTCTCTTCTCACATGCAATTGCATTTAATATTGGAGGGTACGCAAGGATTGTCAAGTTGATGTTTTTTTTTTAAGATCATATTACCTAATATTACTGAATCTCTTTCAACATATATTCCACTACCACAAACACGTACATTAAAAGTATCATTGTCAATAGAACTTTACAAATTTAATCAGCCATCTAGGTACGTTCTCAAAGGGTTTTTAAAAAAAACTAAAGTTTTACTATAAGGATTAATAAAAAAAGATCTTGTACAGACTCCTAGATATTATTTAACAAAACAACATTTTATTTCATCTATTTGGAAAAATACGTTTTTTCTCAAAGCCTGATATTAAATTGTTAAAAAAAGAAAAGAAAATGAAAAAGAGAGAGAGAAAGAGAGGAAAAAATAAACCACACCATCAAACAGAATTGCATTCCTTTAAAGTGGACAATCTTTTGAAACAAGAGAAAGAGAGTGTGCTTTTAAGTTTCTTTAAAAACCTAATGGTTTCCGTTTGAAAGGGATGTAGAATGAAGATGTTTCTCTTAAGAGATATCTTCTTCCTATCTTGAAACTCTGAACGAACTTAACTGTGCGCATCTCCGTGTGAACACGATAAACAGTAGGTGGAATAGAATTTCTTCAATATAGATCTGAAAGATCGATTTGCTAGATCTATCTTATCTTGGTCAAGCTTTAGAACGATCCAATAAACAGATGGCCGATGTTCATCGAGTGCCATTACGTTAAGTAATATCTCTAACGGGTTTTCCTGTCACTCGAAATAATCGATTCGGCCATTGGTTTTTTTTTTCAATATTTAAATAGCCACTTATTATTCTCATATTCATGAGAGAACACTTCTCTCTGAATACTTTTTAAAATATCTATAATATTTTTCTCTTTGCTCTTGTAATACGAAAAAAAGAATGATGAAAATATATTTCAGATAACTTTGTGTTTTCTGATAAATGTGAGAATAACGCATATGTGGAAAAAATGACATATTTATGGGTCTAGTTTTATAAATGATTAGATTGATACCAACAAAATTTCGATAGAATAATTTATCGTTTTCTTTTTTTTTTTTTTTTTTTTTACTAACAATAAGAATATTACGATCACATCGAACTGGGATACGAATGAGTGTCACGGAGTAACAAATTAATTATAAAAGGCAAGAAACGTTGAGAGATAAAAATATGCACAATTTCATTCGAGATAATTAATTCTATTAATTGTTAATGTTTTTTTTTTATTATTATTATCAATGCGACAGTCGAGTAACTTTATTGCACATAATACGAATAACAAATATAAGGAAATAAAAAATATTATCGATCGGTTATCTGATTCTAAAATATATTAAATAACAATTCATATTGTGTTTCCTAACAAAACATTCTATTCGCATACCGTTGGTGATACGTTGAATTATTTCTCAAAGATCATTTATATTTTTATATAAACAAATATTTTTTTCCCTTTGAAAAATTTGTGTTAGATACTCGCTAAAGGATGAAGAAATCATTTTTTTAATTAATAATAATTATGATATTATATATTTCATCCCTTTTTCATTTTTCCACTATTTTCTTATTTTCAATTAATATCGTATACTTTACGTTTCTTTTACAATTAGATAAATTTTAACAACGAATGAAATAATAACGTGTGGGCGATCGGTGGCCTATGCAACTTGAATGGAAAAATTAACGTATTAATTACCTCGTTCTAAACTGCTGATAAAACTTTCGATTATATCTATTTTTACAAAAGAAATAAAGTTTTACGATCACTGTATTTTCATTAACGAACTTCAATTTACCGCATAAATGCGTTTCCAGTCATGCGAATCGAATCTCGTGTTTTTTCATCTTGCACAAATAAAACGGGAAGGATTTTTTTTAAACGATAAAACCACGTGATTCATTTTCTGCGTGATCGATTGTAATCAATAGAATTTACTCAAAAGAAAAAACCAAAATGTACGTGGTCTCAACGCTTGGTGAAAATGAAACTTGTAATATCACGTGAAAAATAATCAATTGATTTATATTTACAATGATTGTCCCTTAAAATCGTACACTGTTATAATTACTCGATTTTTCCATGAAACCTATTGATATAATGTGTTTAAAATGAAGACAATACATTAGTATATACATTAATTACATATTTAATAAGTATAACTTAAAAGCTTTAATTATAACAATTAAATTAAACGAATATGAAAATAATATGCAGGAAACATCTGTCACTAAAAATCGTACGTGTTGGTATAACTATAAAAACAGGACGAATACCTGATTTTTTCGCATCAAATAATTAATCATTCTTTGCTTTAACTGTTATTTAAATATTTTTATAGTATCAGAATCAATTGAATATCTATTAAAGTAAAAATAATACAAAGTACATTTATTTTAAAATTACGTATCTATTAATATACTTAGAATATTAAATAATTACGATCTGATATATTATTAAATGACAATTTTCAACTCAAAGACATCAATTATCAGGAACGTTAAAAATATCTTAAATATTGATAGAATATATTAAAGTATTAAAAATACCTTAAATTATTAATTAATTAATCGAAGAAAATGTATATTGTAGTCTAAAAGCATGGAGTATAAGTTTTAATCATCACCACGCTGAAACTTAAAAAAAATATATTTTAATTTAAACAATCAAAAATATTAATAAAGTACATTAGAATGCTCGATCTATTTTAAATGATTATTAATTAATCGAAAAAAATGTAGATTGTAGTTTAAAAACGCAGAGTATAAGTAAGAACTACCTACCTCTTCGAAATCCACCATTAGACTGTTTCATTGTCCCCTAAGAAAGTCGATTAAATTTCTTTTGTTGACTGTTGTTTATATGACGTTTAGAAGGTTCCTCATGTGTATAACTAAAATAATATTCGTAATAAATAGAATTTCTTTCTTCGGAACACGTCATATAAACAACAGTCAATAAAAAAAATGTTAATTTACTTTCATACAGAACAATGAGCAAATCTAACGGGGGATTTTGAAGAAGATAGTACGTTGAACTTATATACTGGGTAGTTTTAAATAACAATATATATTTCCTTTGATTAATTAACAATTATTTGAGGTATGTTGGACACTCTCAAGGTATATTCATCTCCACTAATCCTTCCATAAACAAACGTATCTAGCAATAACTGTCTGTCGATATATATCGTACATACCTACGCACACACATACATACACACATTACACTTACACTAAAATCTTCGATAATTTCGTTCAACTGTCGATCGACTGTGGTGGGGTGGTTATATCTTACTTACTTTCTCTCTCTCTCTCTCTTTTGATGAAGTTTCATAAAATTTTATCTTTATCGTCTCTTTAGAAGTTATCACTTCAAAAATCGATCGATTAATCTCATTTTCTTACAGCGTTACGAACACAAAAAAATAAAAGATAAGAGAAAAGGATAAAACAATAAAAAGAAATATCGCAAATATTATTTTATCTCTGATGAAGAAAAATTACGTAGTATTACATATATACAATAAGATTCAACTTCAAAGTTTTTGAATAACTTTAACTGTTAATCTCGACAGTGAGGAATTTTAAAGTCTCGCCAATATATTTTTGTTATCACTTTTACTACTTTCCCCAGTTGAAGTGCAAAGTAAAGAAAGGAGATCCCGATTTACGGCAAAGTGGAAGAGTCCGATATCGTGAAACGATGGTTGCGTATCGATTTTTTCATTCGCCTTCTTTTACCCTTCTCTTTTTTTTTTTTTTTTTTTTTTTTTTTTTTTTTTTTATTTCTTTTCTATTTTACTTTTTTCTATTTGGCTCGCGGGATTTCGGTTAAAACTATTATCACTTGACACGAATCGAATTATTTGTCACAAGAGAGTAATATTATACATATTTTTCTTTTAGATGGATCGAAATAAAAAACGAGTCTTCGATTTGACTTTTTTTTTCTTTTTGAAATCATTAAAATGCGACAGAGTTCGTAATAACGAATGGAAGAACGTATATGCGAATGTAAAATAGAAAATAAATGTAACGTATTATAGAATTGATGCAAGTAATACTCGTTTGATTGGTCGAGACGAAAATAGTATATAGTTCGTTAGAGATACAGTTTTTTTCCCCAATTAAAATTATTACGTATAGGATGTATATTATTTTTATTATAAAATTGTTTTTATCCTCGATAATTCATATATTTGTTTCAAAGCGAGTGCAACAACGGTCTTTTTTTTTTTTCTTCTCTTTTTTCGTTTTTAATGTTTATATTTTTCCGAATTGTTACACATTTTTGTTCGTTTCATGCGATATGGGATATTTCAGTTTCTAAGCGAGAAGTTATACGATAACGTTTTAATATCGATTGCCGTTGCTTTTAAAAGTAGTTAAAGGTCGGCGTTTGTTAAAAGAAACGAATAGACGAAAGGAAAGAAAAGACAAAAATAAATTGAAGAAAGCAAATGGACGTATATATGTGTGTATATATATATATATATACAATACTATATAAAGACTTTAGGGTAGGGTAGCTCTATTTCTTCTTGATGTCATTTCTCGTTATATCGAAGATAGCGTCCAACTGTCAAAAATGATTTTTATTAATAATGCGAGAATCCGTCTGTCATTTTTTCAATCAGACAAATATTTCACTTGATCTTATTACGTTTCTCAATTCTGACATGTTACATCAAAGATTAATCAAAAAAAAAAAAAAAAGACGAGAAAAAGCCTATTGCCGGATATTAAAGTCAAATAAATGTAATAACGCAAAAAAGAAAGTCGAATTTTTGAACGTTTAAGAACTGGTAGAAAAAAAGTTGTCAAGAAATATGAAAAAGTGAAAACATAAGAAGGAGAGGTAGAAAACAGGTACAGTTAACCGTGTACAGGTACTCAAGGAAATTGGATTTCACTAAAAGAACTGTTTAAAGCTGTTATAAAAATAACTCCGGGTAATACCAAGAGAGAAACGTTGAAGAGAGTTAAATAAAGGATAGAACAATTAATAATCCATATAGCTTGTATTGTCTCCCTTTGTTTCCAGGCTTGGAAACTTGGTATGCTCGATGGGGATTACGCTTGGATTCTACCAGGTGACACCATGAACCGGTTTGAGGGCCCTGACGATTACATATCCTCCGGACCTGAGGAATGTACAACATCTCAGTTGATGCAACCTTTGGATGGGGTGATCATAGTTAAAAGTCATGATCATACTCTTAAGGGAGAGGTCAGCTATTCCGGTTTGGTAAGATTTCATTAAAAAGTAATCAAATAATTCAAATCTTTATCTATAATGTATGCTTATAATCACGAAAAGAAAGATGTATATATGTGTATACGTAAAACATATTTGACAATGAATATTCCAATAAAATCCTTAGGATTTATAATCATAAAAAATATGTAACAATTCAAATTAGACTAATGGAAATGTAAGAAAATTTCTTTACATTTTATTCTACAGTTCTTCTACTTAAACTTTGACATTCTTTCTTCTATATTTAATAAAATAAAATTCTTGTCATAAATATTATTATATCTTATCGATTAATAATAATGATATTACTTAGAAACTTATCTACCCGTCATCCTTGCCGATTAAGGTTAGAGGTTCGATTATTTTCATGGTAATAAAACGGATCAAATGTTAACGTATAACAATACTTATAGTTAACCAAGCTTCGGTATGGTATAGTTACTTCCGATCAAAGTTAAAACCCATTGTTTCCTCACCTTACGATCACAAGGATTACACTATACACAGTAAGTGAGTAAGAAAATTGTTAGATATAATAATATATAGAGGTTTGTACTCTTTGTTATGGATACATAATAATCGTAAACTCTTGAAGGGAAGTGTAGACGAGAATAAGCCCGAGAATAGAAAGCTAGTTTGCAGCTGGTTCTAGCTTTTACCATTGTCAAGGCTACTAAGAGATGAACTCACTGTCATCCCATATTCTTGATTCAAGCGAACAACGCTCGGCTTGAGAAAGAGAATGCTTGGAATATCTTACCGACCTTCTCAATATCTACCCAAAATTGTTATACTCTGATATTAATCAACTAATGTAAAGCTTCAATCTAGCAAAATTTAAATAATTTTACAAAGAGAGATGAAAAAAAGACAAAAAGAAAATAAATAAATAACGAAAGACAAAATATTATTATTATTATCCTAGAATATATATTAAAAATAAAATAATAGGCAGTTTATTTCGTAAGAGTTCTACTTTAAAGAACACTCATTTCTTAATATTTATCGGTTGACGCATTAAAATTCAAATAAAACGTGAAACTCTATTGTCTTATTCTACGATTGCGTCGCCAACGGCACACGTACACTACGACTGCTCTTTTAATATGTGCGTCACAGGGCACCTTTTTTTTTTATTTTAACCGTGCCTTCGCCCATTTCTGAAAGCCGAACATTTCGCGTAGGCGGCGAATGGCCGACTTCTGCTATGTTTCAATTGTCGTCGTTCTTTTTCTCTCTCTTTTTTCTTTTTCTCTCTCCAATGCCGAAATATTCTAGAAAAAAAAAAAAAAAATAAAAATAAGCTAGGGCACTTCACTTCTTTAAACCATTCCGCTTCGTGCGTCGATGTTTCTCAAGGACGTAAAAAAAAAAAAAAAAAAAAATAAAAAAGAAACAAAAACCTTTATCTAAGAAACAAATGAATTTAAATAATTACATGCTAGAAAATAACTCGAAAATACGAACGCGCATAGACCGCGGTAAAATAATAACTGTAAACTCACTCGTACGCTCTATTTAATTAACTTCAATGTGGACAATAAGTAATTAAAAAAGCCAACAAATCAAAATAATGTTGTTAAATTATGCTAACATTTAGAAGAGACTGGAGTAAGTTGATTTAGAAGTAGGTCAATAAAATCAAATTATCTGGGCACTGTATATATACATACACACATTCATTAATACTAATTGTTTAAAGTTTATTATTTATCTACTTATCATGATATATAGTATTTGAACAACCGTATATGCTGACAATTGCAATTCCCATGGTCTAACCTAATTGGAGTGACAGAAGATCGTTACACGAATTACCTTAGATGACGATAGACAATCTTAATTTATTCAATCTACGATGACAGAGAATATATTGATCTTTTTAAAATATACACACAATAATTCATAGTAGATGATATCAACCTATTATTATTCAAATAATTTAATTAATTTAACTATAATAATCAAGACAGATTAATTTCGCAATTTGACATATAAGTCGAAGTTTGATAAGTGAAAAGCTTCAATTATAGAAATCCTTTAAATAAGAATTCAAGAGTAATATGAAAGTATTTACACGTGATCGATAAAAAACAACTTCGATCATCCATAAGACAAGAATTTGTTGACCATACGATAATTCTTTTGCGAAATTTTGTCTTTTCCACAATTCCCCAGGATTAACATTTATTAAAGCGACTTGTAACATTAAAGTAATTCGACAATAATCCAAATGGATATTGAAATTTAACAATTTATCCAATTAAACATATTTAGCATATCGAATTTGCATAAACATTAGAAACAGATCTGTTACATAAAACAGGTGTATAATATAATGTGCAATATGCAAACTTTAAAGGGAATAGACCATTGATAATTCTAAGTATCCAAACGATTTTATAAATAGAAAAAACTTTTCAATCATCTGTTTAAAAAGATTCTCAATATTAAATCATCTATTTAACAATAATCTGATGATCTCTTTCACAGACAAGCACAGAATTTATTTCGGAACTCGCTAAACGAGGCGTAGCATCTTCCAAATTTGCTGCACAAACGTACGATGCTGTCTGGGCAATGGCATTAGCATTGAATAAAACTGAGACTGAATTAAACGAGATGAACATGACCATGGCCAAATATACGCATCAAAACAAGACTTATGCTGAATATCTGCTCGAACAACTTAAAATCTTACACTTTATCGGTGTTTCGGTAAGTATAAGGAGAGATGTGTGGTTTATAATATTTATTATAAAAAGACGAAAACTATTTTTTAATTTCAATATTTATAATACAAAAATAATAATAATAATAATAATAATAATAATAATATAAAAAAATAAAGAATTTTCTATTAAGAGAGAAGTTAAAAAAATCGATCGTACGAGGACATTGGCTTAGTTCGTTGGATGTATTTCCCGAGAAATATACACTATCATCCATCATTTCTATGTAGCAAAAAGGAGGGTTTATTAGCTTAGCGGTGATACGTCGATATATCGCGAAAGGAGTAGAACGAAAGGAGTTTCGCTTTGACAACGCTTTTGCTTTTAGGGGCCGGTTTCTTTTGACGGCGCGGATCGTGTTGGAATCACCGCCTTCTACCAAAGGCAGGGTAAGTTAAAACGCTAGATTAATCTTGATACATTCCCTTTACACCCTACTAACGCACATAAATGCAAGAGAAAGAGAGAGAGAGAGAGAGAGAGAAAGAAAGAAAGAAAGAAAGCCGTGCTTATTCCAAGGTTAAACGTTGTCCTAAAAATTCCTTACGAGCTACCACGTGTTGCACTTTTTTTTCTCCTGCCCGTTCAAATGCATTTAGTTGCATTGCTGGGATGAAAAGAAAATCGAATATTCTAAATAGTTCTATCTCACTCTTTCTTTCTCTAATTCTAATCTAAAATTGATTTATTCACTATGATATATAAAATAGTGTTATACTGATAATAATTAATGCGCGTTTTGTGAGACATATAAAATGCCTAAAGCTGAGTAGAAATTGTTAGCAATTAACTATGCGTAATACTATAATAAATCGGATATCCTCTCCACATATCGCGGCTAACTGGCATATGAACGCTCGGATGATTCCATTTATGAGATTTCCATTGTGAAGTGCACATCCCAACGATTTTCACGCTATACATCCGTTACGGTAAAAGCACGTTCGTTTATAGCCGATATGTTGTAAAAGCTACGTTCTTAACCAAACCACAAAAGATTATGTTGCCGTGCAGAAAAACGATTCTTCTTACGTTAGAGTTTTTAGAGAGGAAAAGAAAAGAAAAAATAAAGGACCGTTAACTATTACAAAAGGAAAATGGTTTCTCGAAGAAAATGAGAAATTTTATATTACTGAAAAAGATCAAAGTTAACCCGTGGTATATCGAATTATTAATAAATTTTACCCGCGTTTTATCAAAGTATAAATTATTATTATTATTATTATTATTATTATTATTTTATTCTTTTCCATTAACTCGATTTACATGGTTAATACCAGGTAAGTGTAGTAAACTCCACTCACACGGAGTTTTTCTCAACCAAGTATGAATGGGTTTTCCCATTCATTGTGTTGATGGATCCATTATCTGGATTTAATTGTTTCTATTTTTCTTTCGTTATATAGAAACAACATTCATCCATTTCGTTTATCCACTGCATACACTATCTGAGTTTTCCCGTCTTTATTGTTAATGGTCAATGATTGTAATATCATCGAAGCACTCTTTCGACATATACAGTTTTAGGATTGTTGTGTGCTGTTTTGTGTGGTTATATCCGATTCGAGTGTCCCACAGGGTGTGTTCGTCTACACAATCGCACCCTACTAGTGGTCCGCAAGCTGTACCCTTCAAACATGGCTTGATGAACCTCAGGAAGGAGTTCTATACGTTTTCTTATTGTTTTCTTTATCCATTTTTCCTGGATTTTTCCCTTTTAGTCGCCTCTTACGACAAGCAGGGATTACTGAGGGGGTATTCTTTCTTATCACCCGCCCCTCTCACGGGGTTTATTATTATTATTATTATTATCATTAATTAATCATGTTTTTTTTGTATACAAAATGCACGTAACTGACTGTAAATTAGATTTTTCTTTTCTAAAATAATGATAATTAAAATTCATTACATTTTACGACGTGAATAACTACGTGAAAATATATCATTTTCGTAAAGGTGATAAATATATATATATATGAAAAGGTAAAGACGGAAAGATGATAGAAAGAAAAAGAAAAAAATCTTTAGAAAAATATTTTGAAAAAGTCTCGAACTATTATGACAGATTTTAATTATGTCATCTCAACGACAAGTATATATATGCAATTGTTATTTCTAACTGGAAGAAACGATGTGTTCTCTCACCTCGGCGTGTATTCTCTAATGAGTGAATATTTTTATACAATTTCTTTACCTCGTTAGACTTTGATAATTATAACATAATTGATGCTCACGATAATGGTGTAGTTCTTTGCTAACTAACGAAATAAGACAAAAATAATAAACAAAAAGAAAGAAATAAAAGAAAAAACATTGCACGCGTACAAATATAAATGATTTTTGTGCGAAAAAACCCCATTTGCGTTTGGATCATTTTGAATAGTGAATTCATTTCTATCGCAGAAAATAATTAACTAAAAATGAATATCGAACGATAATGATCGTCGAACTCGTAATTAGGAAAATCCCACTACACTCACGATTACCTCGATTTTGCATGTAAATTATGGAAATTGCATATTCAACTGTCATCAACTAAAATGCAGATTAACATATTTTAAAATCAAATGTCTATTAATAAACTCCATTGATTCACTTTTATTACGATGATGCAGAAACAAAAATTAAAACATTACATAATCGTTATGTAATAACTCGAATAAAAGTGTAACGTTATGTGAAGATAAAAAAAAAAAATGTATTATCGAATTAAAATACGTAGTTTCGTCGATTAAATTTCGATTTGAATTTCGCTCTTCGATTAAAATCGGTGAAAGATAACTGACAAAATGCAACACCAAAATATAAATTAAAAAATAGGAGAAGCGAAGAAATCGCACGAAATAATTGAATCGACTAAAGCGAGCATGGGAATACAGGAAAATCCGATGATGAATATCCAATCAGTTAGTATAACGAAAAGGGAAATAACCACGAGAACAAATTCAACATCGTACTCTATTAATTTTTCCGATAGCAAGCCGATCAAGTTGCGCGTAATATTTATCGCCGCAGTTCAATTAATGACCGATCGAATTATTATTATCGCTGCTGTCTTTCATTTTCAAAGAAATTGCCGATAACGTGAAACGTTATACGCAATTAACTAATCTTTTTCTATATAAAATATGCATTACGATGTTTTAATATATGCTAAATGTTCATATTTCTCTATATTTTAAGCGTACAATAATAATGGCTTTTTGCGTTTACTGTTAATTCATTATTAATTGACATAAAAATGCGAAAAAATACAAAACATGTGCGTTAAACATTTTAACCCTTTATACGTCCGTTTAACTTTGAAATCACGTAACAATTAATTAATATCATCTTCCAATATATAATTTGTCTTCCCCCTACGTGGCGCATATATAATATTTCATAATGTTTATTTTGTAATCAAAAATATAAGATGATCCTTTATGTCGATATCAATTTTATCTTAAAATATGAAAATAAATCACGGAAAAAAATAATCGAATTATAAAGAAGTTAAAATCATTTGAACCATTTAAATAAAACCTAACTTACGATCTTAACTTAATGAATTAAACAATTACGTTTCAACGTCTAAATCTTTTAATAAAAAGTTAAAAAATATAATATTCTTTCTAAATAAGTATTATAAGAAAAAAGAAAAGAAAAATCTAACTTAACTTGTAATATTAATGAATTAAACGATGACGTTTAACGCCCAGAGCGTTGTAACTAAACTTATAACTAAAAGTTTTGAGAATCTTTCTCATGGGGTGGGAAAACAAAAAAAAAAAAAGAAATGCGAAGAAAGCGTGCACGGTTACGTGGTGATCTCTAGCGATTTCTACAAGTTGAAAAGTAAAAGCCGTAAGGCATTTCCGATATAAAGGAGATCGCGAACTATAAAACGTGAAAGGATCGTAGGATGGAAGGAAGGTTCGTGCGAACGGGGCCAAAGATACTTGGCATTCTAACTACTGGATATTGGCAAAGCGATGATGAATAATTAATCGGAAGAGAAGAACTTCCCTTGGGAAAACGATAGGGAAAGATAAAAGGTTAAGATAGAGAGATATCTCGTGTGATAGTTAAAAAGAGATGGTAGAAGATAGCACTGGTCAATATTACTGTTCTCTGTAAGAATTTCAAATGTTTGTGTTCGTGAAAGATTGAGAGTGAGAGAGAGAGAGAGAGAGAGAGAGAGAGAGAGAGAGAGAGAGAAATAAAGAATAAGAAAGAGAAGCGAGAAACGGATTGACGGCGAAACTAGTGTCAAATTTAGACGGCCACTTTCTGTCTCGAAATCGAATTAAACTCGACGCTGATAAATGCATCGTAGCGAATACGAGCACGTTGACTATCGGAAATGCATCGGGACGCGTATAACAAAATGAATTTCGGCGGACAATGGAAGAGGTACAAATAACATCGTATTTTCAAACCGATGAATGTTTAAAGAAAATACAATAACGAATAAAACAATAACGCGAGAAAAATATTATTATTCTTGCAAGAATGTGCTGCGCACAAAATCTGTGATGAAAATAAATAAATAAATAAATAAATAAAAAAAGAATGGAAAATAAAATAAACAATTCTTAGGCGCAGGTGTGTGCACGAGGTTTTTCTTTTCGATTCACGATCGTGCACAACAACCTAATACTATAGTTTATACGTTATCACACGAATATACATATATGAAATTTACGACAATGGTCGAAAGGTCAAAACGAGAGGTCTCCTTATTCGTAAGAAACAATCCCGATGCATAATTTGAACGAACCGACAGCATTGGAATGCTTATGGTAGTACGCCAAGTATTCATGGTGAAATAATAGCTCGAGGGGTGGGAAGGGGATGACTATATAAGTGCATTCTGTGCATGCAAAGACGTCTAGGAAAATGTATGATCATCGATAAAGAAACGTAACGTATGTCCTTTGGTATCTCCTATAATATCACGATAAATAATTTGAGACATATGAGAAAGAAGGCCCATTAATTCTACGAGATTTAATATAGAGTGTGTTGTTTCATAGTCTTGTTTACTGGTACAACCCGATCGATCACAAATGAAAAGAAGTGAGAGAAAGAAAAAGAGAGAGAGAGAGAGAGAGCAGTAGCAAACCGTGTCGAAAAAATCGAGGCCGCGATTCATTACTTTCTTTGTCTCGACTCAATTGTCTCTCGGTCGACGAAAAATCAGGCTGGACTGGAGAATCGTACAATCTCTTAAAAGCTTCGGCAAAAAATTCTAACGTGTACCTATACCTTTCTCTCTTTCTCTCTCTTTTTCTCTCTCTCTCTCACGCCACTCTTTCGAATCCTAGTCTTCCTATTTAAATCCTTATCCCAAGACTTTGATACGAATAGATAGATATTCAGATATACCGGAGAAGGAAATATCGACTCGATGATCAGCAAATCTTTCACGATTCCCTTAGGATAATATCCAAAGTTTGGAAAAAAAAAAAAAACAGAAAGAAAGAAATATAGATAGCAAGAGAGAGAGAGAGAGAGAGAAAAAATAGATATTTCCTGTGACATTACAACAGAATTCTTCTTCCCTGAGTAGTTCTCTTCATTCGTTTTCGACACACTCATGACGAAGTGGATGAACAGCCTTAACCTTTACGAGCTCTACAAATACTACTAACATTTTCCTCAAGTATCTATCTTTCCTTTCTTTTATCATTTCTAGGTTTTTACTTCTATTTATTTTATTTTATTTTATTTTATTTTATTGTATTTTATTTTATTTGATTTATTGGCCAACCATTTTTTTCAAGCATCGATTTTAAACAAAGTCAATGAACTGGCCGCGAATTTACTTTAGCCGAATGGGGTACCACGCTTAAAAAGAAAAACGTGTCATTTGTGTTTCGACAAATTGGATATATATATAATCGTTGCATATCTTTTTCTCTTATATTTTTGTTTTTCTCTTTTCTCTTTCTCTCTCTCTTTTTTCTTTTTTTTTTTTTTAATTATTCCACCTACACGAGCATCACGTTATCCGATCGAGGTGCTATGTACGCTCGTCGAATTGTATCGAACGATCCTACGGCTATAATCCATCAAATAGCATGTCGTAGGGTGGTATCATTGGACCTTTCCGATGATACGCTTCGAGAACGCAAGCCTCAAGGCGAATAAGAAGAAATAGGAAAAGAAGAAAAGCAACAAAGTTTGGTCTTTCTCTATTCTCAAAGTGCTGATAAATCGTATGACAGAAACCTGACATCATCTAACAACAATACTGATTTTTCGATCTAAAAGCGTATTACATAGGATACGAAAAATGATAAGAAAATTGTGAACTAGTTTTACTCCGTTCTTTATTAGGCATTAACGAACAAATTTTGTCTCGGTATGGCAACGTTTCATCATTCCAATCATTTTAACATTATCTTCTGACGCTTCTTTAATGAGAGAGAAATAGAGAGAGAGAGAGAGAGAGAGAGAGAGAAAGAAGAGAAAGGAAAAAGTTATAAAGAGAAAAAAACAAGACAAGACTTTGACGGCGAACCCTTTGTCGAGATATTTTTTTAGAAAGTCTATTTATCGCTGCGAGCGTGCAGCAACAACAATGACAAAAAAAAAATAAAAAAGAAAAAAAAAACAAAGCCGTATAACAGCAATAGACGACGGAAAAAAGGAAATATAAAAAAAAAAAAAAAAAAAATATGAAGCAAATGCGTACAATGTTAGATGTTACTTAGGGAAAAAAAAAAAAAACTTGTAAATTTATGAGAACAACAAAAAAAAATAGAAAAGAAAAGAAATAAACTTTTTGAAATAGAACCGAGAAGTTGTGAGAAAAAGAGAGTGAGAAAGAGAGAGAGAGAGAGAGAGATTCGTACTATTACATATCTGAATACGTCATATAAAGAAGTTCGCACGAGTTTTCCTGTCACACGTTTGTCAAGGGAAATTACCTGTCCCATGTACCGAGTCGAAAAATGTTACGAATAAAGGTTTCTAGGACGAGAAAGTAAAGTGTTGGATAAATAACTTTAACAACAACTATGATACCAAATGATTCACTTTTGATTATAACAAACTGAATCATTTTGTCAAGACAGAGAGTCGCTATTAATTATTTAATATTATTTACTTCTCCTGTGAAATAATTCATTTTTTGTGATGTTAAATTCGACAATATTTTCCATCAAATTTTTATCGTTCTCTTTGGGATTCTTTTTTTTGTTTTTTTTTTGTATAGAAATAAAAAGTTCGACAAATTATGGCAAGAAGAAGACGGGGGGGGAGGGGGGGGAAGAAAAAAGAAAGTACAGGGAAAAATAAAGTTTTGATAAAAGTTCAAGAAAAGAAACAGAGAGAGAGAGAGAGAGAGAGAGAGAGGAAAGAAGTAAAATTCTATGTTGAGAAAAAAGTTTCGCGCTCTTTGTATCGGGGCATGTTTAATGAAATCGAGTGTAGACAAAAGGATGATTAAAAATGAAAGTAAAAATCTTTCTTTCATGGTTTCGGGATAAAGTTCATGCTTCGTTTTTTCTTTTTTTTTTATTTTGTCTTTTTCTTTCTTTTTAACAAAAAGAAGAACAAAATTCGATAAAAATTCTTGAAACAATGATATGAACGATCTAACATTAAGATTTATTTATTATTCACAATTTCACACAGTTGATCAAAATTGTGCCTGGACCGATATAGAATTTTTTTTTTTTAAAGCGTCGTCGATGACAAATAAAACCCCAAAGTAATTTCGTTTAATGATCCCACAGTTCGCGAAGGACTCTTAAAATGGTCCATAAAGAACAGATAAGAAGAAGGAACGTTTATATACCAATGTGATGTTTTTTAGGATGCACAGTGAATCGTTTTAAGTGATCACAAGTCAGACATCAAATGTGTGGTCAGACATTTTTTTCAAAGATTTATCGTAAGATACGTCCTAGGGAAAGATACGGGAAAAGAATTTCATCGAAAAACGATCGTACGAGTTTTTCTCTTATTTTTTTTTTTCCTTTTTATTTTTATCGTTCGATTCTTGTCGCCTATCTCTTTTCTGTCCTTTCGTTAAAAAATGTACCAAACGAGTTTGCAGTAATTTCGTCAATTTGTCATACTATTCGAAAAAAAAAAAAGAAAAGAAAAAAAAAAGGGAGAACATTTTATCTTGTCGTTCCTATTTTTTTCTTTTCTTTAATATTTCTATAAAGATGATTTATATGAGTACATATATATATATATATATATATATATATATTTTAATACTTTTTTTTCTTCAATAATTCTATTCTTATAGAGAAGATTATTATATTTTTTATTATTAAATTTCGTCTTTCCTTTCCTTTTTCTTTCTCTCTCTATTTCTATTGTTTTACGATCTAACGATTGAGGAATCAAAGTCATCAAATGATCTGCAAATATAAAAGTACGAAAGATATCAATAATTTATTCGAATCTCATAATCCATTCGAGATCGTCTCGAAGAGAGTTTTACGACTAAGAGAAAGAGGAAAAGAGGAGGAATGGGGGGGGGGGATTCATCGACGTGGACATTGTCGAGCACTTTTACGACTTTAATTTTGTCATCTTTTCAACAGATACGTATATATCTCGAAAATCTATCGATTTTGACCGATAAGTCGGCATAGATAGATAAGTACTGACATAGGTATGAGGATTAAGAAATATAAAAAGAAAATAAAAAGGGAATGTGAAAAATAATCGAACGAGAAAAGGGTATTAAAGTCTCGAAAATCCTGTTCGAGTTAGTTAGCCTTTTTGACGTCTCTAAAGCTCTTTGCACGAAACGAAACCAATTATCCTCAATTCGTGCTCGGCCAGCACAAGATCCGATCGCAACGATGAAACGTGAATCCCTCTAAAATGATTGCACCAACTCATTCGTTCGTACGTTCGTTCGTACGTAAAGGATACGAAATCCAATTCGTCACAAAGAAACGAAATAACGATTATTGTAATATTAGAAAAACTGTGATCTTTTTCTCAAATAAAAAAGAAATAACCAAAAAGTGTAGATACGATATTTTGTTGCGTTCAATCACCGAAAGTGAACAATAATAAAACTTTTCAATTGATATCATCCCGTGACATTCTTTTTTTTTTTTTGTTTTATTCTTTCTCTCATTTCCTTCTTTCCGAGAACAAATTGTATAGCAAGCTAGCTAAAACACGTAACGATGGCCGATTATAGTTGGCTTTCAGTCGCTATAAAGCAAAGGCACAATTGCCGCAATAATGCTCCGAACGATGGAACACCGGGCAATAACGAATTTATGATTAGTTACTGGCGTTATTGCCCTGATTTATATATATGCGATCTCGTATACGTATCTAGATAGGTATGGTTACATATAGATACACCACCTATATGCAAGTACTTACCTATATGTTTCCATATAGTTATATTTTAGTGATTAGAATAAAAAATAATATGAATTTGATATGATGAATATATATCAATCAAATAAAAGTTTTCTTGTTATAGGTCATCGTATTAGAAAGATAGCTATCTTCACTCCGGAGGATGGGAAACTAATAATGAACTGTCCAGAATGCGTTGCTACAAGATGGCCCGGAGGACATCCGCCTGCAGCTCGTAGGGTCTACCGGTAGTATCACTTTTGATTTAATCTAACGATCTTTGATTAAGTTCACGCGAGATACATCATTCGAGTTCTATGACTATGATGTTACGTCTATATTTAAGATAAATTAAACTATTATGATTTTTCTTTCCATTAAAAACGATTAAATCGATTCATAATTAATGTCATTATAGAAAATTATTATTGGATTAAATTAAACTAATACCTACAGTGAAACTTTCAGTATCTGTCAATCTACAATGATATTCGAACGTTCTACTATTCGCGTGTTCTCTATAATCGTAAAATATTTTATATTTTTCTTATTTATTTGTATTATTACTTATAAGAAAAATCTTTCATCCGAACAATTACATTCCCACAATTAATTTGAATATTATTAGATTTTACTGTATAATGAAAACAATCGTTGCAATCAATACAACCTAATAACTTGAAACAAAATAAGAAACATGTAAAAATCGTATATTATAAGATTTGTTAAAGTGATATTATTTCTTGAAAGGAAAGGAAAGATAATCTCTGAATAATCATACGAGATCGGATGAAAAGTTTTCTTACAAGTATAATGAGTCAATTTCGATGCTACTACCATTTAAACTTCGGATATCTCTCTTTCTCTAAAAGAGAGAAAGCAAAGAGGTCATAGCAAGTAGAGCGAGGAATTTCAGGAGATTATCCTCCTACTCACTTCGTGGTCGCGTAAAATGTCAACCAAAACGTTTACATATATATATGTATCTACTACTACTACTACTACTTATCGTTGATGTATATACATAAATCATGATTAAAGTTGACTTTCGTTGGTGTCTCAACTATAATTTATAATATGTGTTATAGATCGACGTAATCATGAAATAGTCAAAACCCTAACGACCCGACCCAGTACGACATTTTTATATGAAATTTTAACACAACTTTACGATAGTCATTTTTTATGCAGGTTAAGAGTGGTTACAGTAGCACCTGCAGCTTTTCTCGCGGTCACCTGTTTGGCAAGCATCGGGGTTGCCCTGGCAGTCGCATTTCTCGCATTCAATCTTCATTTTCGAAAACACAAGTAAGCTCTAAGATCTATAATGCTTCGTAGAAAGAAAGAAAGAAAGAAAGAATAAGAGTTGGAAGAAAACAAAGTAATGGAATTATAACTAAACATTTATTTAAATCATGCTCGCAGAAGTATTAAACTATCGAGTCCCAGACTAAACAATATGGCTGCAGTTGGTTGCTGTCTCGTTTATGGTGCGGTTATACTACTTGGACTTGATAATGCAACACTTCCCAAGAGCCATGATTATTTTCCATCCGTGTGCACCGTGAGCATCACTTTTCTACAAAGATCTAATTTCATTGACAAATTTAATCTATTTGTGAAATCAATTCATTGTTATATTTTCTTCTTTTTTTTTTTTTTAGGCAAGAGTTCTTCTATTATCAGCTGGATTTTCTTTGGCTTTCGGTTCCATGTTCACGAAAACCTATCGGGTTCATAGGATCTTTACAAGAAGCAGAAGTGGAGTCGTCAAAAATAAGGTTTGAGTCAATTCCTAATTTATTTTAATATAATTCATTTGATTTCGCGCGCGAAAATTGAAATGCGTAATAAAATGGTCTTGTTTCTTTTCTTTTTTCTTTTGGTTCAAGTAAGTAAACATCGTGTTCATTTAATTAATTACGTTAAAGCAAAAAAATGATGAAAAAACAGATATCCTTTTCACCCTTCTTCTTTCATCGTTTTAAAGCGTCTGGTGCGTTCAGACGCGATTAATTCGATTAAATCCCATGTATAGAATACACCACACACTGTAAGAGAAGAAAATTGATACAATTAACGTTTATCTTTTCAATTAACAAAAGTCGCTTCTTCTCTCATTCTCCCTCGGCAAATAAAATCACTGTTAGTGTCTTTTGATTCTATAACTTCGGCAATCATTATACATATGCAACAAGAACGAAATCCATATGCAAAAGTTGAAGAGAAACTAGAACCAAATAATATGCAGAAGATATTCTAATATTGTACTTTTATCCGAACGAATTTCCACGTATATGTTCAATGAAATTACTAACGAGACACAATTACAATATATAATTAAATGAACTAAATAAAAATGATCGATTTTGATCGTACAAGAAATATCATCTCCTATGATTCATGGACGATGCAAATTTATCATTTCTAGCTGCTACAGGATACTCAACTGATAAGCCTAATCTGCATACTGCTCGTGATCGACGGCCTGGTGGTGACACTTTGGGTAACCTTGGATCCAATGCAACGTCACCTGCGTAACTTAACCATGGAAATGAATTTGCAAGATCGTGGCATCATCTATCAACCACAGGTAAAGACAAAATCTGAAAACTACGTAAACGAGCTAAATCCTTTAAATGATTTTCCTACGAACAAGATGCAAGTTCCAGTGGTGTCCCAAAAGTAGCCGCAATAACGCTATTCGTAATTACCTTTAACGATCCGTAACCAATTAACTCCTTGCCTTTGCTCCTTCCACGTAGGTGGAGGTGTGTCGTTCACAGCACACTAATGGCTGGCTGGGTGCACTTTACGTTTATAAAGGCTTGTTACTCGTAGTCGGTGTCTACATGGCCTGGGAAACAAGGTAAGCTTTCAGTACAGAGATCGTCCGGATGGTTAATCCATATTTTCCGATTCATTGAACTTTTACTCCCTCTCGTTGATTTAATACTTTCAAATTATTTTTATATAGAATACATATTTAATTATTGAAATAATTTCAATTTATATATATATATATAAAAGATAACTTGTTTGTTTTTTTTGTTTTGGAAAAATTCTTATTCATTCGATTAAAGAGGATCCTGAAAATGTTACATATTTTATGTATGAATGCATTGATTTAGAAAACACTTAGGGTGAATCGAAGTATTAAACGGATGCAATAATTGTCGCTATTTAGAGCGGAGATTTAATCGTAGAGAATGACGAGCGTACTATGGGGAAATAATCCGTAGCAATTTAGTTAATTAATTACATTGTTCAACGATGGTATCAACTTGAAATGGGATAGAATTCTACGAAATGTGTGCCACTATAGATAAAGATAAAAACAATGGGATATTATTCAGCCTCTTTAAGGTAAATTCGCATTTTCTCGTTGAAAACTGCTATTAACGTTTTGTGAAAGCATCCGAGAAAATGAAAAATTTACTTTAATTTAACAATCCTGGCTTATCCGTTAATTAAACAATTAAACGATTAAAATTCTAACTGTAATCTATACACACAGACCAACACGTTTTGTACACGCAATTTTTTTTCACGAGTCAAAAGATAAACAGAAGAATAAAGCAACTTTTCAATTGAAAATCAAATCAAATAGTATAAATATCACCGATGTATCAATCAAATCGATTATGCTAGTTTTCAAATTTAATAGCCAACAAAAATTTCAAATAATAATATGAAATAAAATTAGAAAATATGTACACAAACTTAATCGAAAAAATAAAGCCGGCGAAGTTGAAAAACTTCGTTTATTTTTTTGTCGTAAAACAAATATTTGAACGAATGGTACGTGGAAAAACGCGTGTCTTGTGATAGATTTACGAAAATCTAATAGACGAAAGGAAATAGAGGAAAGAAATTCGATCGTAAGGTAGAAGGTGTGTATCGGAAATGCAGAAGACGAATACGAAGTTTCCTTGAACGATTCGGATGACAAAGAAAATCGGTCCTAGTACGATTCGAGTCAAACGAGATTATAAAGGATTCTCTCTCGGAATTCATACTTTTAGAGAATTTTATCCGAGGCTTAGAGAAAGACAAGAAATTTCACGTAACCGAATCGAATCGAATCGAATCGAGAAATATCTGAAATATAAAGTCGAAGAAAAAAGAAAGAAAAAGAGAGAGGAGAGAAAAATAAGAGAAAATTCTTTTCAGACACGTGAAGATACCAGCTTTGAACGATTCGCAGTATATTGGCATGAGCGTTTATTCGGTAGTGATAACGTCTGGTATCGTGGTCGTGTTAGCAAATTTGATGTCCGACCGAGCAACCTTGGCCTTTGTCACGATCACTGCCCTGATCCTGGCCTCGACAACGGGGACTTTAGCCTTGCTCTTTCTACCTCAATTGGCGAACATTCTAGCAGGAGAGAGAGCTGATCCTGTTGTACAGAGTCTCGGCTTGAAGATCGAATGCAACACAAGGAGATTTGTCACGGACGATAGAAGGTAAGAGGGCTTGCTTTTCTCGATCGAATTGAAAGAAGAGGGTGAAAGGTGGAAAAAGCCTTTAGATAGGAGGAAACGGGTAGCGAAGACGACGATAAGAAATAAATTCTAACGTTGGCCAAATACAGAATTGGTCTTCGAGACAATAAACGTTATCGCATTCGGTTTCCCGATCGAGTTCGTACTTTTCAAAGTGGTTATATACGAAAGAGAAAATAACCTATCGGGTTTGCCAAATGAACACAAAAAGAAATCTAACTTTGTGCTCTCCCAATTTTTTTTTTTCTTTCTTTTTCTATTCTTTTTATCCAATTGTTGTCTATTTTTATTTTCTTTTCTGCTTTTTTTTATTTTTATTTTTTTCCTTTTTCCTTGTTTTTTCTTTCTTTTTTTTTTTTTTTGGTCTTTATTTGAAGCCTCGAGAACGTCGATCAATTCGTCTATTAGTTTTCGTTCGTTGCTTGATCAAAGAAAACGATGCCCTTTCTTCGAAACGTGTCCCTTTCCATGCAAATCAACGGAATACCAAATAACAGTGTCCTCGTTTGATGCAATTAACGTGATTCCGCAGAGAGCTACAGTATCGAGTAGAGGTGCAGAATCGAGTTTACCGTCGCGAGATGGCTCAGTTGGAGCTCGAGTTGGCCAGATTGGAAAAGCAGTTGGCCCAAGAACCGGTCGAACCATCTCACGCTTCTTCGAGTACTTCGATTCCACAACGAAATCCGAGTATCGGGGGTGGCTTACCCTTATTGTTGCTCAGCGTTCTCCCATCGGTTATTCCGAGGGCCAGTTGGCCGTCCGCCGATCCTTCCGGTAAGAACGATACTATCAAATTTATGTTTCACGGGACTTAGTCGTGCAAAAAAGTAATCGATCGATTTTTACCGATTTTGATCAACACACACAAAATATAAATAAAAGAAGAAAAGAAAAAATTTAACAGAAGAATGAACGATCGAAAGTATTATATATATATTGAAATTTAAAAAGAAAAAGAAAATAAAAAACATATTTTGCACGATGAGTCTGACTCGTTTCGAGCAGAGAAGGAAGGAATCAACGTTTATATTAATGCTTTCTCGCTTCGTTCGTTCCTCCGCCATTCAGGTGTCAGAGAAAGGTGATGGAATTTCGTTTATTGCACGTAAATGCTTTTATAACGAAAGCCTATGTTCACTTGCTTGACGTTACGACACATAAGAAGAGATGTCCATGATACGGGACGTCGTCGTAACGTTTGAATTTTTAGAGTAGAAACAATGACGATCCTTTTTCATGCTCGTGGACGTCCGAGTATGCATGGAAACGTTGAATTTTTTTATTGATTTCTTTTCTGATATTTTTTTATGTTCCTTCTTTGTTTCTTTCTTTCTTTTTTGTTCTATCTCTCTCTCTTTCCCTCTTAATGATAAATCGAAGAGGGATCGTGTTTTTGGCAGCTCCACTTTCAATCATTCGTACTCGTTACATTAACGACAGATTGCACATTATCCAAATAGGGAAATTACAAATTCTCGGCGTATTAGAATAAATCCTCGAAACAAGTATGCAGCTGTATTACGTACGTCTATTTTATTCTAATAATACGAATAACCCGTTCGTACTTGTCAAAATATAAGTGTTGTGAAAAATCGTTCGAAAAGGAAGAAGAAAAAAGAAAAAAAAGAAGCTTGAGAGAATAAACGAAAGACCGGCTAAGTTATTTCCTTAATATATCATCTTGGATATCGCTCGTTAATATTTCAAAAAACGTCTACATCTAAGAAATTTCGTCGTACGTTTTTACCTCAAGGGATCGTTCTTCTATGAGTACAAACATCCAAGTTGTAGCAAGGAGAAAATTGTGCAGTATTATTTGCATGTCAGATGCTCTTACATGTCGGACGCATTCGTCATGCATGACAAAACTTTCTCATCCCTCTGATACCTCTCTCGCTCTCTCTCTCTCTCTCTCTTCTTATCACTTGCCCTTTCTTTCTTCAAACTTCTCCTCCTCTTCTCGCTACAGTTGGATGATAAGAAAATTGTAATTATTTCGTACAAATATGAAACACTTTCTAAATTAATTTGATCATTATACAGCATGAAATTACAACATTTTCCTTATCTCTTTCTTTCTGTCTCTCTTTCTCTCTCTCTCTCTCTCTCTCTCTCTCTTTCTCTCTCTCTCTTTTACACTATTTACGCTTCTTGTGCAAACCTACAAATTGGTTTATCAGCATCCCTTATACGTTATCGTAAAAAACAACATTTAAGTTTCGACGAGATATCGATTGACATCTGGGTCGACAAACAACAATTTTCCGAAGTAATAGCAAAACGTATCCGTGAAAAGGAATCGTATCTGTTACGCGTCGGTTGCACGTTTCGCTTCTGATATTTTCAAATGCATCGACGAAAAATCTTATATCTAGAAATAAAGGGACAAATAGGTAGGTTGGTTTTCTTTCAAGCGTCGTTAATGGATAAATTAATTTTTCGAACTTTGGGATTTTTTTCGACAAAGCTAACGTAATCTTCAAATATGATATTAAACACACATTAGAAATTTGCATCGTGCAAACATATAAACGAAATTAAACGTAATGAACGAAAAAAAAAAAAAAAAGCAAAAAAGCAAAAAAAAGTAAGCTTCGTAAAAGAAAATACATGCAACTTTTCTTCTCCTTCCTCTTCTACTATTTAACTTAGTTTGCTTTTCGCTTTTGCGATGCGCTTTAACCCTTCTTTTTTATTGCCATAAATACACAACAGTTGTTGATTATGTAACGGAACGACGTTTAGTTCAGTTTAGCCTGACTAGAGGAAAAGTTGACGAAAGTTAATCTCTAAGCATCATTCCGTTGCGTTATAATTCAAACCGCTATTTATACTAAAAATAACGAAAGATATATACCCAACTGGAAGAAAAAAAAATAATAAGAAAAACAGAAAAGAAAAGAAAAAAGAAAAAAAAAAAGAAAAAAGCACTGAAAGCATCGCGATCTCGCTCGATACGGGTTATTCGAGGAGTTCCTGTTGACCCCTTGTTGAAATTAGGCATGCGCCGCGGTACCGTAGCGTTTAGCAGTCAACCGGATCTGGAACCGGATGGTCCCAGAAGGAGCCTAGCCGACATTTACAAACTTCACCGTCGCAGAGAGACCGAGGGACCAAATCGTCTGGGCGTTTTCCAACGGCTCTTCAGCCTTTTTGGCAGCCGTCCGACCAGTAGAAAAACATCCACGGCATCGTTCACAGGTAAGTCATGATAATTATTTTTATTTTACACGGCCGATAATACCTTTAAGAGGTATTATTACTACGAGATGATCGTTGTTTAAATAAACACCGAATTATTATCTCCAATAAACCGTAGCGAATTGAATTTTCGTATGCACTGACGTAGTAGCGGTATTGCTGGCAAGATTGATTATAGTCTTCGTGAGGTCAATCGATATCTACCGAAAATGATTCATTATCATTTTCATCGTATATGTCATTATTATCAAGAGTAACCGTATTTAGGTGTAGCGTCTGCGCTGAGAGTCCACATGGGTTATATAGCTGGTCTAGTACCAGGTGCTAAAGCCGCATCAACCTGCCAAATGGATGCACAAGGCTCAAGGCAGTCTCATCCTCGATGTGGTTCTGGCCCGATAATTAGTATCACTAGTGAGGAAGACCGCAGATTAAGCTTTGGCTTACGCCGTAAGGAAAGCAGCGAGCCGAGAGTGAATTTTACTTTACCGCCACGTAAGTTAATCTCATTTAATATATATATATATATATGTATATATATCTATATATATATACATTAATAATTAAATAAAATATGATTAAATCTCTGAAGTCAGTTAATTATTTCATAATTAATCGAATTTACAGAAGTTAACAGTAATCAAGGTTCGTCGCGAGAAAAGATCCGTGGTTCGCCTAGATTTCCTCATCGAATAGTCCCAGCAAATAGTCTAAGTACCATAGCACCTGGACTATCAGCGACCAGACCTCATCGTTGGCACTCGATGGAAGATGCGAGAAGACCTAAAACAACCTCGACGCCTCGTGGTTCCTCCTGCAGTCCTCTCTGCGATGTTTGGGCAACTCACGAAGTTGGCATACCTCTCAGCGAATTGGGTAAAAGTGTGAGGGGTAGAAAACCACCGGAAAGTTTGACCTTAACAATAAAGGCCGACTCGAATATCAGTCCCGACGATGCCAAATTGGGAAACGATTTGAAGAGACTATTTCGAGAAAGTGACGTTTCGAGTGATGTCAGTCCAATCGAAACTGAACTGTCCTCAACACCGACGAACTTCAAACTCTCTAATACGATAAACGACGTAGTCCTCAAAAATGGGTCTCGTTCTGGTTCCACGACGTTAACCGTTGTCCTTAAGGACACTCTTCAACAAGAACAAGAATATTCTCAACCCACGAGCCCTAAAATTCTCATTGCTAAACTTGACAAGGACGTTCTTCGAGATCCTTCGTCCAACGATCAAGGATCTACCACCGTCTAATCCTCATCGTTCGTGTTCCTTAGTCATCGTGCCAAAGGAAAATAAACGGGACCGGTAAGAGTACGCGACACGTGTTTGATTTTTGTGTGTATCGCGGAGGGACCAAGCTTCCTTCATTTTTTTTCATTTTTCATTCTAACTTCCCTCTCCTATTCTTCTCTGGATTGTAAAAAAAAAAATAAAACAGACGTTGGGCGAAAATTTCGAACAATATCTTCAAATTCTCGGCAACGTTTCGAATTATATTCTTACCGAATGTGTGTCGATTATAATAAAAAAAAAAATACAAATAATAATAATAATAATAATAATAATAAAAAGGGAAAGATATCTTCTTGGTACATATTTTTTATACGTCCAACGAGATCGGGAAAAACAATAAAAAAATTTTTCACGTACTTGGATATTCGTAAAATCTGCCAAAAATAATGGATCCCCGTTGAAAATGATTTCTCGCAAACGTCTAAATGTTAATTGAAATGACATACCTACTCTTCTCACCCCCTCCCCCGTACCCACCTTCCACAATTATTAATTACTGTTTAGAATAAAAAAGGGTGTGACGTAAAATAAAAACCACTGCTGTGTTAATAAATGTATTATTAAATATCGAATGTAGTAAATACTCGTATATCATTTAGGATCAAAGATCGTTGAGCTCTGAACTATTGTTCTGGGAAAAAAAAAAAACGATATGTCATTCAATTAAATTTATTATTAATTGTAAGATGTGAAAACCTTCTCCACAATTATCTATATCTACAAATAGATCTAACGAAGAAACAAAAATCGCAGACAAATCATCTCCACTAATCGACTAAAAATCATTTATTAAGAATGATTCATGAATGATCAATGAAAAAATAGGAAAAGGAACGTTTTTTTTCTTGGGCCCACAATATAATTAAAAACAAATTAATCGAATTATTGATTGATTCAAGCACGTAAGAAGCACCGCAAATACTCTTACAGGCCCGAAATCAAAAGTGTTCAGTGCCCTAAAACCCCTTTCTCCAGTACCTGTATTCACGTACGACGCGAATATATCTTTCCAAAAAGTATGAAGATAATAAATATAAGAATATGCCAATTTCATTCGTAAAATAAGTACGAGTCAAGATATTATATTGATATTTTCATGCCATAATTAAGATAATATCTATATCTAATAAAAAAAGAAATAAATATATAAATAATATACGTGTGTATATTGTATATGTGCGTGCATATATATAAGACATACATATATATATATATATATATATATATATTTATATATAAAAAAAATTAAAAAGAGTTCGACTTTTCTCGATTAATGTGAGTGATTGCCATTCGAACGACTTCGTACCTCGAATATCTTTGTGTCAATCATTGAAGTCTTTAATTATTGTAATAAGCAATAACTGTCATTGTCAAAAGCGGAGTAATAAAAAAATAATATATATATTCTATTTACTATTTGACTATTTTCAATCATCAACATGGAATCCTTCTATCGTCATATTCCTATAATATTATTTTTATAACTAAATATTCAAAATAATTTATCGAATGTTCCATTTCAATGATTTATCAAAAAAGAAAAAATATTTTCTATCCCATCCGTTCTATAAAAAAATGGTTTAAATAAAAGTTGCTAAGTTTTGCAGGAGAAATGTAATATTGTTAATTACTAGATAATTATTACATGCCATTTTTGGTGAAGTAAATCTAAGGTAAGGTAAAAGTTTCTATGACATACTTTCAACTATTTATACCTTTTATAATTTATTTATCGGGATGGCAATGCTTTTCTCGCTACATGACTAGTAAATTTTATAAGGCCAAAGCACATATTAATATAAATAACAATTCGTGATTTCTAATATTTGTAATTAAGTATTGAGCAACATGAAATGAAGAATAAAATCATTTGAACATACAGTATGAAGAATATTATCTCGTTTCACAACGTATAAATAATTAATAAACAATTTTAATTTATTATGCGTCTATTTTAATCTAATATAAATACAGACAAAATATTTTTTCAAATATTCCAACTGTTTATATATTGTTCAATTCTTCAGAATAAAAAAAAACAATCCTACAAGCTTGCGACTGGATAAATTCATTCCAACTTGTTATATAATATAATTTTCCTAACTCTTTTATTGCTTTGTAAATTAATGAATTTAAAAAAAACTGTACAAAGCTAATTAGACGGATTAAGAAACGAAAAAAAAATCACAAACATTATTAAATTTAATATAATAGCACCTTGAATTATCAAATATAGAAATATATATGTGCATATACATGTTTATGCATAAAGAAGAAGTTATATATATATATGTATATATATAAAGAGCTAGAGAAAGAGGAGATATCATATTTTAAATTATATTTTTAAGGAAGACAATATTTGAAATATCACTGCAGCAATATTAAAAATTTATTTAACTATGCCAAATAATTTTTAATCTAATAAATGTATATATGTATATGTGTATATATATATATATATATACAAATACATATATATTGATATACATTTACATATATATATATATAATTTAGTACCCATAATCAAAAAATTAAATTTGATAAAAATTTTTTCATCAAATATATCATAAATAGAGATTTTACGGAATTCTTTTTAGATAATTTCGCATATTAATCTCTTTAACACAATGTCTTTTTCATTGATAACAAAAATTTATTAGATAAATTAAATTAAATTATTTATAATAAAGTAAAGATTTAATCAGACTATGTTTACTGACATATCTTTAATATCTAGAAATACTAAGATATATAAGTAATTATACTAACATAACAAGTGATATCTAATATATTATATTTTACAATTGATCTCTAGATGTTTCAAAACATTCTAGTAGTTAAAAATGTACAATTATAATAAACTCTCTTATCGAGTTATTATTTGCCGACAATTTAAAAATTTGTACAGATCTTTACATGCTAGATAGTTTTAATGAATGTACAATAAATTATCTACAATTATGAATTTGTGAATCCCTTGAAATACAAAAAATATGAACATACTATTTTACAAGAACTTTTGCCTTTAATCATTGGGCTGCCTCTACTATCGTAGCCTAAAACAATAAATCAATACTGATATATTTATACGCTGTATTATTTCAAAATGTTTTTACATATTAGATTACTTACATTTATTTTTTCAAGGATAGTATTCGATGGATTATCCCGTTTTATAGGTTCTTTTGTATTTTCTTTTTGAAAGCTTTTTTTCTCATCGTTAATTTTTACATTTTTCTCAGGACTTTTCAAAGCATTTTGAGCTTCTATTCTCTTGCGATTAAGAAATGCCATACCATGTACTCGGAGATGTTTATCAACAGAAGCTTTATCTTCAAATACAGCCATGCATACGGAACATTGATTAGCTATCATTGCTTTTGTTTCATTGTCAAGATCATCAATATTATCCGGCGCATATGACGAATTTTGATTCATGTAAGAAATAGGATCTTCTATTCCATGGAAAGCTTTCAAATGCATCTGCAAACTTGGTGCAACAACAAAGTTTTCGCCGCATTCTAAACACACCAAATATCTACCTTTGATCCTATGATTGGATGCTATATGCTCTCTTAAGTCTGACATATTTGCGCATCGTTGATTACACTTCCGACATATAAAATTACCCTCTTCGTCTTCTATGGATTCTTGTTCCACGTACAACCCCAAACCAAATGAATTATTTGAATCTGTATGTTTCTTTGCACTCCATCTTCTTTTTTTTTTCGAAATCGGTATCGTTCCTTCGGATTTACGCTTTTTATTACTAAACAATTCCTTGTAACCACCATTAATAAATTCAGGAGTTATTCTTAATAATCTTGGCGTTACAACAGATAATTTACATTCCTCCAAATGCCTTGTATTAAAATGAATACTTATAATAGGCCAAGCAGTATTTATCAGCTCACCGCACAAATGACACACATAATCTTGATAGACGTCCTTTGAATTAGTTGGACCATTTAATGCTATTCGCCATGGTCGTTTGACATTAGTTTTACGATTTCCAGACGTATGAGAAATCGTACGACTAGATTTTTTTATTTTATCTTCTTGCTGATTCCTACTCTCTAAAAAATATTGAGGAATTCGAATTAAAGGTGGTGGCTTTGGTATGATGTTTATATCTTCATTCATTTCATTATCGGGATCGTTGCTTGTTGAAAGAGTAGTTATTGGTTCTGATTCTATTACGCTCATTGAATTCACATCATCGCTTATTTTTATTTCATTAGACGTTTCTATTAAAGCAGAAAGTGTGCTATTAATTTTCTCAAGTACATTTAATTTACTGTCAATTGGTATTAAAATTTCGCTTGTTTTTAAACTCGATTCATTTAATTTGATGACAACATTGTCAACACCATTTACTTCTTTATTTTCTGAAATAATACTATGATTTGTAATACATTTTGCATCACTTTTTATATTTTCTTTTGCAGAATTACATGTTTCTTTTGATTGATCATTAACAATAGATTTAGGTTTTTGTGTTTTATCATTTGATTGTATTTCCTTACTTTCTACACTTATTTTTCCCATGTTATCAATATCTGACGAACATTTTTGATCTTTTGACAAAACATTAGCCATTGATCGTACGTCTAAAATTTTTGGTAGATTATCTTTTTTATCAGTGTTTAAGTAAACTATTGAACAATCCGTATTTTCTAATTTAGCATCCGAAATATTAAAATTCGACATTTTATTCGATATGATAGGCCAAACATCGTCTTCCATGTCATTTTTTATTGTTGATTGTATCGAACCCGAGCCTTCATTATTATCTAAAACTTGTTCAAAATCTTCTGATGCAATAGTTTGTGTATTTATTATTTTAGGTACCATTGTATCTGAGCATACATTTTCATTACAATTTCGGAGTTTTCTGAATCTTTCACAACTTAATGACTCATTTTCTTTAAATAAACATTCATAAAGACTAGATGGTAAAATATCTTTTAATATTTCCGGTTTAATAATTTCTAATAAACGATAGAGGTGTACTATTTGAAAATGTATTTTGAATTGCATCAAAAATTGTTTGCTTTCGAGATTATAATACGGACAAAAAGGACATTTCAACCATATTATTTTTCGTACACCATAATGTTTCTCCAAGTGCATCATGTATTTTTCACACCGATTAATACATTGCCCCAATTTGCAGATCATCAGTCTTATTGGTTCAGATTTAATCATAGTCGAATGCATTTTGTCACGATGCCTTTTATATTCATTGTACGTATCTAATACCATATTACAAGTCTCGCATGCTATCTTTTTACTACTATGCATAACAGCAAAGTGCCTTGCTATGGATTCCGTATCTTGAAAACCAACTATCTGACATATTTTACAACAAAAAACACGCTTTTTCAACATATGGAAACAAAAAGACCATGTATGTCCTTCGAGTGATCTAAAAGAAGGAAATCTGCGGAAACAATCAGGGCATGCGTATGGTTTTTCTTCTTCGTGAAAATTCTGATGTGTTAAAAATCGAGTAACGTTACCCTGATAACTACGACATTCTTGACAAAAATGTTTGTAACATGAACAATATACAATATCATTTTCAGCTGGTTTAGAAAATCCCGGAATATAAGTTTTGGGTTTCATGACTTTACTGCACGTGGAGCATCTGAAATTATTAACATATTGACATTTTGATTCCCAATCATTCGATAATATTTCTTCATCATTCCATAAATCCTTCATATCTTCTGATTCGTTCTTACAAGACTCGAGAGCATCCTCTAATGCTGTTTGTAAATTTCGAATTGATTTTAATGTATCTTCTATAGCTTTGTCCTCCGCGAAATTCATAACACTCAGAATTTCTTTACGGACATTTTGCAAATGTCGAATACGTTCCATTAATTCGGGATAATTCAATTGTCGAAATTCGTTCAACATATCTTGTCTGCAATTTGGTATTGTTACAGTTGTAACTACGTTGAGCTGCTTGGCACTACTCTTCGATTTTTTTATATTCAAATATATTTCTGCATTTTCGGCTCTACGAAATGACAAAGCTTCACAAAATCCATCGTTATTCATTAAATCCAATATAGACTGTTTAAATTTCGGTTTCAGGTAATGTCTTGATATCTCTGATTCTTTTTGCACGCAAACAGCAGAATTTTGTTTTTTCTGAATTTCACAACTTGAACTATTTGATAATTCTGACGAAGATGGTGATGGCGTAGGCAAAGAAACATTTGTTTCGGGTAAGTTAAGATATGTATTTTCAAACAAAGATAACTTCGTTGCCCCATTTTGATTATTTGTATTATGTTGTACGACTTGCAGATTATTTGATGAATCAGGCGATGTAGACGTGCTTAATTGATATACATCATTTGATGTATGTGTAAGAATATATCTTCTGCCATTTCGATATACAATTGTACCTTCAAGAGAAATCTGATGAGGAGATTTTGTTTTATTAGACTCATCTGCTATTTTTTGTAAATTACCAGAACTCTTATTGTCCTCCAATATTGCACTATTACGTATATGTAAAGGTATTAATTTTGTAGATACAGATTTAATATCTTTTTCATGAAATTTTGCGTCAAGCGTTACATGATTGACTGTTTTGTTAACCCTATCCATATCTTGACCAACAAATACAATTTTATTATTCGAAAGATGAGACGGAATTTGAGTAATAAGTGCATTCATTTTGACAGAGTCTGTACCTTGGAATGTTAGTAAATTTGAATCATTTTTTATAGTTGATAAGTGTTTTTGTTTTTCGTATTCCTGATTCATTATCCCTTCATGAGATAAATTAGGCAACAAATTAGCATTCTTACTAATTGCATTCTTAATTAAATTATCGGTACTATTCTGTGTAGTGATTGTAATAGAGGATAATTTTCCACTATTACTACATTTGTGGTCAAGATCTTTTTGCATATAACTAAAATCTTTCTCCAAATTTTGATTAGAAGAATCTTTAGCACTGATGAAGTTAGATGATCTATTAGGTGAAGATGAAACAGAAGTAATATAATTAACAGTTTCTTTTTTCAATCTTTTTTGCTTACTTTGTTTTTTCGTTATTGTTGATTGTGTATTCTTATTCATATATTGCACATAATTCGAATTCATCATTTTATTTTTGTGTGAAGAATAATCTATTAACGAGTCATATGTATAACACTTATAAGTAGGACCACAATTTACAAACGTAATATCAGTAGGAGTGCAAGGATTGTCTTCATCCTCAAGAGTATTCTGACTGGACACAGAATTAGCTGTGGCTATAATACTCATATCACTAATATTTTTATTACTATCTTTTTCATTCTTTTCTGATCCTACTTTACTGAGTCCCGAAGTAGAGGATTTGAAATTAAGTTTGAACAATGAGTTCAAAGGAACCAACTCTGCATCTACTTTAGCTACATCTAAATGAAATAAATTCCTTCCATTATACGTTTTTATGATCTTTGTAATAGGATTATCATCATCATCGATATTATTTTCAACTAACTTCCACCAATTGCGATTAATTTTATTGGCTCTTAACCAATCCATGATATGTACTCTTATCATGAAACAATATTCCAAAAGTGCTTCGCAAGCAAATTCCATTTTAGATGTCCAATCACCCTCCACATTTGGAAATGGCATTAACATAATATCACATATATTGACTAAAGATATATTATGCAATTTCAAATGTGCAAAAAATTGACACTGATTATAAAAAACTCTAATAGTCCCCATTTTTTGATGTTTATGAATACCTCTCTTTTTCATATATGACCGCTTATCATGTTCCATATTTACACACAAATCACACGGTGTACTACTATTAGGTACATGCGTGCACACTGTTAAGAAACATTTCTGACACCAAAATCCTAATATCCAACTGTGTCGCTGACTATGGTCTTCGAAGCTGCTTTTAAACCAAAAGCTAAGATAAAAATAAATTTATTCAATGTATTATTAAATAAAGTCTACTTTCTTTGCTTACGGTAAGATTGCTTAGAAATAAAATATAATTCTTACCAATCTTTGCATTGTTGACATACGTATACTAAATCAGACTCTTCATTATTACATTTTAAAGAATCTGGTGCTTTTAAGGGCACAAATGGTATAGGGTGCAACTTAAAAACAGCATTTCTAACTGCTGCATGATACTTCAGTCCCCATTTTTTATAAATTCTATCTGAGCTACGAAGTTTGATGCTTCGACTCCTACGTTTCAAGCTAGAAACAGGTTCCTAAAGCATAAAGATCAATAACATGATTTAGTGATATAATCATTTATTACAATATTACTATGTAAAAGTTCAATGTTAATATAAATAAAACTATCAATTACAAAGATAATTAAACTAATTCATATGCTGATAAGTGTACACATATTAAACAACAAATTATAAATAGATATATGTATACCATATTTTTTATTATTATTATTATTATTTCTATTGTATATAAATTTTAATATAACAAAGTAGCTAACATAAGATTATGTATGTGATTAAATTTATATATAAGTATCTTTTTCTCTTACCATTTGTAAGCTTGATTGTGTATCTCTTATACTTCATCGGAATAAGTAATATAAATTAATACATTGTTATGAATCACAAGATCAGCCATGACATGTTTTCAACTGTTTGTTGCTCGGTCGATAATATAGAAAACAAAGGCGCTAGTATCGCAATATTGAATTATCTAACTCTGTGGAAATACATTACAAAACACAAATAAAAATAGTGCTTATTATCTTATAATTAATTTAACATCTGGATAGATAACCCAGAAGAAAATTTTTACCTAAAGTATATTAATTACCAATATTCATTGATACAATGTTACAGCTGAAGTGGTCTTCAATAGTTCATTCATAGATCCTGACACTAAAAAGATTTTAAAGAAGAATATTAGATTGTAAATAGAACATAAGCATACACATTAATAAATTCAGCATTAATCACAGATATACAATATTTAATAACTAAGATATTCTAGGTTTCTTATTTACATCACAGTATACAATATTTCCTAGTAGGATTATGATTGTAGTCATAGCAATTAATTTAGGTGATAATTACATTTATGTACATAAAAGATAAATTTTATAACATGTAGATACCGAAAATAATTTGTTATTATATATACTTTTACTTTTTCATCCTATTTTACATAGAAGTATTATAATATGTAAAATAGCTTTATACAACAAGGATAAAATTGTTTAACAGTAGTACAGAAATAAAGAGCATCAATGTAGATATTATCAATACTCATAATAACATAAATTGATATATGGAAAATATTACCTTCTATAAGATATATAATTCTTAAACATCCGGATATTACCACTAAATATAATTTAGAAATCATATATATATTTATAAATTTATTATATTTTCCTACTCTTGTGTGAAATTTATCTCAAAACTATCTCAATAATCTAGAATATTAAATGAACATATTTTACCATTGACTAACCCTCTTATGACAAATTTATAGATGTCGCTATATATGACTAAAAATATTTATTAAAAAATTTATCATATATCAATATATCAATATATAACTTATTGTTAAACAATGGAACTTTGACATTTCTTTTCTCTTAGCATTTCAATTGGTTCAAAATAGGTTTTCTTTAAATTATTTGTCAAAAATGGAATTAAACTATTTTTTTATTTTTTCTTATTATTGTTAAGTATTCTATTAAAAAAGAGACAAAACTATCAATTTTCAGATAAAAAGAATGTTTAATCTATAACTATCCTTATCGTGGACTTTATTGAAGACTATCTATGTTGAATGTACTCAATGCTTGCTACTGAAAGTTGTGCAACTATTGGACTCTACTAAATAATGACCTACTACGAGTTCAACCCGTTTACTGGACGCTTGAAAGAATCTACAAGATTTCAACCATATTATCCATTAGTAAGTAATAATTGAAATATATTCGCCTTATATTTTTACCATTTTCAAATAATTGATAATTTACAAATTTAAAAAAAGATTGACTTTCTTGTAAATTACCTTCATCATTACTGATGAAAATTTTTAAAGCACCAGTTAAGTGTTTTCTATTGATTTATGTTATTTTTTGAATTGTTATTCAGTCATCATTGTTAAGTAGAAAACAATCAAAATATTCGATATCTTCTACTGTGTTTCCATTTACTTATTATTCAAATTATATTTCAATTGTTTTACAGTACTCGCCATATTTATTAGCAGACGACATATCGATCACGTAACAAAATGTTCACATATGATTTTAATAATACTCGATCATACACTATTATTTATATTTTATATAAGAACAAAAAAAATTTAGGAGAGAAAATATTATTTTATAATAATATATACTAATTTTATACTAATTTTTACTTATAAACGAAATTCTATCTTTTTAAATTATTTTAATTTATTATTATATTAATAAATAAATTTTATTTTTGCAGAAACCTAGTGCATTAAATACAGCGGAACAAAAATTAATTTGGGATATAATGACAACCAAACCAGCAGAAGTTAAGTCATCGGCTTCAGTTGGTACCTCAACTGTTGATCCTAAACTTCTTGCAAAATATAAATTTTTCCAGGTAAATTTTACATTAGGGTTTATATAGATAATATATATTCATATTTATATTAAAACGAAATATAAATTCATTTAATATAATCATATAAAAATTATTGTTTTTTTTTTTACACAGAAAGATATCCACAAACCAGTTTATTTAATGGGAGGAACAAAAGACAGAATACTGTTTGGCATAACAATTGCTCTAACAGGTTTGATTAGTGCTGATGTAGCAAGATTTTTGTATGACATTATAAAAAAGTAAAGTATTAAATAAATGTATGTAATGTAGAGATATAGAAAAAAAATGTAATACATACTATGCACATTGTTATGTATTGAATATAAAGTAAAATAAATAATACAGTTAAAGATTTGTACAACTATTTCTGTTCCTATTTTGTAATATACTATTTTTACTATCCTCTTCCTATTGGAATGAATCCTATTACAATAATACGAACAAATATAAAAAGAGGAATATTTTTTATTATTTAAACATCTTATTTTTTAACCATCTATGAAAAATATTTACATATATCAAATATATATATAAATGACAAATGCAGTTTTGTGTATTGACACTCCACTACAGCACTGTTAGTGATAATGTCAATGTGTCATGTTAGATTATTTCTTTTGCAGAAGAAACTATTAAATAAAAATATGGTTATAGTATTAGTAAATATATTTAAAGAGTGATTTTCGTATTTAAATTAACTAGACAAATTAAGATATATTATGTTTATCAAGATATTCGTTGCATTTATGTATTTACTGATGACCTAACCTTGTCAACATCATTGATAAACGAATTAATAGCAGGTGATTGCATTGTATTAATTATAATACATGTAATTGTCATTTAATCAATTAATAATGGATGACAATACTGCCCCAAATATGATATTTCATCCGATAATATCATCAATACAAAAAATCGCACTTTATGAAACAAAATCGGTAAAATTTTTTATATTTATTTGTAAGTTAATAAGAGAGAGAGAGAGAGAGAGAGAAAATGATATTTAAAATAATATTTTAAAAATATTATAGCGGTTTTATTTAATGGGATCGAATAATACGCTGACACGATTTCGTGTATTAAAAATTGATCGGATGGAACCAAGAGAACTTTTTGTTGTTGACGATAAAAGGGAATATACTCAAGATGAAATACAAGATCTTGTTAATATGATTGATATGGGTAATCGTACACGTATAGGACAACGCAATAACATTGGCGGTGTTGCACGAGTTGTTTCAGCTTTTGGTATTGTTGGTACGTCAAGTTCTTATGTTATATTAAATATAATAAAGGTTCTAGTATGGTGTGTAAAGAATTACAATGTTTATCATTGCATGTACATGCTTCTGTAGTCAATATTTGGTATGGTTTATATTTTTATAAAAATTTACACTTTAACAATCACATTTATCGAGTCATTATCACAATATCATTAAAACAGTATTATTTTAAATATGATAGTCTTAAACCTGCCTTTGGTACGTAATCATTTTATAAATGCAACAGCTTAGGCTCCTCAGCTTTGCACATAATTTTTTGTCTTTTTTATATGACACAATATTTGTTATAAATATTGAAAAATGCTATGTAACTTTTTCATTTTATTATTATTATTGTTAATATTGTTATTATTGTTAATATTATTATTATTATTATTTATGAAATTAAAACGAAAGAAAAGACTAATATAATTATATCATATCAGAACCATTATTAATTATAATGTAAAGAACACAGCTTATTTATATATGCTTGCTAACAAAGGCAGCAATAATAAAGAATCCAGCACAAATATATCAGAGGAGTCTGAGCAGCATCGGTCAGAAAAGCCGATGCACAAACCGACAAAAACTAAATTCACCTGGAAGAATATGTGGCAGAGAGATACTTTTCCCAGGCTAGTGTCAGCTTTCGGTCTTCTTGGTAAGGCTCATTGCAGTTTTTATTTTCTGAGCCAAAAAAGAAATATTTTCTCTTTTTTACTATAAATTTTTTATCATCAATTAAAACAATGGACTATTATAAATACTATTGTTTATATGAATTGTAATAATCTTCTAAAATAATCATATAGAAATTTTTTTATGATGGTTCAAATTATTCTTAAATATAATATTTGAAGAACTGCTACATTCTAAAGATAATATTCACAATTAATAATTATGCACATATAATTTATAATATAACATGGTATGTATGTTAATTTTTTGAGCATGGCTCTATTTGTTAGTTATCCACGCATGACATTTTGTCAGCGATGTAATTATTGGTAGATGAAGCATGTTCTGATGCACAAAATGTGGGATATTTAACAGCAAATCAAAATAATTATATATTTGTTGTATGATATAATAAGTACAACAGAATTTCTAGTAAATGTTTATATTTTTATCTCAGATTTCTCTTTTATAAAAATATTTATAAAAAATTATTTAAGAAATCTTCTGTAAAAGGTTTTATACGCTTCCTGGAAGGATATTATATCATTCTTGTAACGAAACGTCGTCGAGTGGCAGTTATTGGTCATCACACCATATATAAAATAGAAGATACTTCAATGATATACATTCCCAATGACACTGTTCGTCACTTTCATCCTGATGAACAAAGATATGTAAAGATGTTCCAAGGTATTGATTTAAGTAGTAATTTCTACTTCAGTTATTCTTATGATTTGACGCACACTTTACAATATAATATGGCACCGCCAAAGCACATTAAATTAGACATACCTAACAATGCTAATCAAAAAGAAGATGATATAGAAGAAGCTGAAGACTTTTTTAACATGTGGTCGTTCTATAAAAATTGGCAGAATGATAGGTTTGTAATTTGTTTGTTACAATAAAAACAAAATAAAATATATTTCATCTTCTATTTCTTTACAGTAAAAAGGAAAAGTATATTGATTATGCAGTGCGTAGTAATCCAAATCGTCGGTTCATATGGAACTCACATTTATTATCACCAGTGGAAAAAGATCTTCATAGAGATTGGATTTTATATGTTATACATGGTTTTATTGGACAATCAAATGTTAGCATCTTTGGGAGATCTGTGTATATCGCTTTAATAGCTAGAAGAAGTAATAAATATGCAGGCACTAGATTTTTAAAGCGTGGTGCAAATTTTGATGTAGGTTTTGTATTATTTATTTTATATGACATTTATTCAAAGTTCTATGAATATATATATGAATTTTCATATTAAGGGTGATGTAGCAAACGAAGTAGAAACAGAACAGATTGTTCATGATTCTGGTGTGAGTTCTTTAAATAATGGAAGATTTAGTTCTTTCGTGCAAATGCGTGGCTCAGTTCCTGGCCATTGGAGTCAAGACGTTAGCAAAATGGTTCCAAAGCCTACAATTGTTTGTGATTTAGCTGATCCATTTGTAGAAACAGCTGGTAAGAAATTGATTGAATGATTCAATTATCCATCTAAATATTCATTTAATTTAAAACATGATATTTTATAATTAAATTCTTTTTTTTAGGAGCACATTTTAATAAGCTTCTTAAGAGGTATGGATCGCCAATTATAATATTAAATCTTGTTAAAAAGCGTGAGAAAAAAAAACACGAAAGTACATTAAGCGAAGAATTAAGTACGGCTGTGAAATATTTAAATCAATTTTTACCTCCAGAACACCATATTCAGTACATAAGCTTTGATATGGCCAGAATGCTCAAACGGTAAATTATAAAAATTATATAATCATTAAAAACATCGTAATTAATTAAAAGGTATACGTATATTAATAATAAATAAAATGATCTTTGTACAGAAAAGAAGTAAATGTAATGGGTCGTTTAGCAAATATAGCCCATAATGCTGTTTTAAAAACGGGTGTTTTCCAATCGCATAATCCATATTACAGTCAAAGAAATTTATTCATGCAACAACACAGTAATGCTAAAAAAGTTCACAAAACAAATTCAAGTTCTGGATTATCATTTAATTCTTATGACGTGAAAAATTCTCTTAATAGTTCATTAAAGATAGAATATAATAATTATTTAAAAACTCATAACACTTTAGAAATACCATCCATTGAATGTAATAAAACGTATGATCTTGAATATTTTGAAGATCATGTTAAGAATTATTTTGCAAGAAAGGGAATACCACAAACTGGAATTATTAGAACTAATTGTGTGGATTGTCTAGATCGGACAAATACAGCTCAGTTTGCTATAGGCAAATGTGCTTTAGGTTTTCAGTTATGTGCTTTAGGAGTATTGGAAAGTCCTAAACTTGAATTTGATTCTGATTGTGTAAGAATGTTGGAAGAATTATATGAAGATCATGGCGATACATTAGCTTTACAGTATGGTGGATCTCAATTGGTACACAGAATCAAAACCTATAGGTAATAAACATAAATTTTAATGTAATTCATCAATGACAAATAATAATAATCTGTATTTGTAAATTTAGAAAAACTGCACCATGGACTAGTCAAGGAAATGATATTATGCAAACATTGAGTAGATATTATAGTAATACTTTCAGCGATCAAGAAAAACAACATACAATTAATTTATTTTTAGGTAATTAAGTAATTGATTGGGCAAATTAATCTGAATTACAAATACTGAAAATACATATTTCCTTTTAGGTCTTTTTATACCAGAAGAAGGTAAACCTTCGATATGGGAATTATTAACAGATTATTACCTTCACCATAAGCCTGCTTGTCAATATCTTCGTAAAGGAAGATTGCTTACTCAATGGTGGAATAAAAATGTATTAAAATGTTTACCATATGCATTCAATGAAGTAACAAAAACTTGTTCTGAAATGATACTAGTACAAAGTACTTATGAAGAAATGATTGATATTTATTATGATTATCATAGGTAAATGATATTTATGATAATCATTACTTTTCATTTTCCTAAGAGATTTAAACAATAACTAATTTCACAAACCATTTTTTCAGGCCGTATGAATTATCTATATTTTTGGATCTATATGCATATATAATAAGTCATTCAGTTAGAGATTTCATGCCTCATTTTACAACAAGTTTTAGTCCATTTGCTGTACGCATAAGGCCAGGTAGAAGAAGAGAAGAAACTGGTAATAAAAATTTGAATATGAAGAATCCATCTATGACTGGACAAAGTAGTACAAGCAGTACAACGTCTAGTGCAAGGTATAATTATTATGTTTCAATACATTTTATATTATTAAGGATGTTACTAATTTTATTTGAAATAGTTCAAGCGAGGATTCAACTTCTGACGAAGATGAAAGTCATCCACAGATGAATGAATCACAATTATTTGCATCTAAAGATAATTCAGAATTAATGTCCTTTGAATGTTTGTTTCCGTCAATGAAAGAAGTATA